CAGAGTTGTACTGATTCCATAGGGCTGGCGCGTACCGAACTCTTACTGCTTTTCTCCGGCCAATTGCTCGAATACCTCGGACGTAATTAATTTCAAAGTATGTAGCTATTGGAATAAACTCTTCTGGCATTTCATTTTGAAAGAGGTCGAATATCTCTGGCACATTGTCTGGGGGCACGTAGGCTAAGGCACACATGGAATGCGCAGCTTCTCGAATACTATTGTCATTCGGATCGCCGTACTGTTGCTGTAGACCTTCAGATTGTATTTTCCGGTATATGCTTTGACGAAGATGAAAGAAGCACAGTCGAATTATATTTTCACCGAAATGATTTTTCACAGCGTTAATTATCGCCAGCTCGAAATCAGTCATTACAATCTGAGGATGACGTATTCGTATACCGGCCTCTTCAGCAGCGGAGAGAGTAACTTCTATGACTTTGGAGTATGCTATTTCTTTTTTATTTTCCAAGAGTGCGTAGACTAATGGTATAGCGATTTTACGTTCAGTGCCTTTGTAAGTTTGGGTAACTGAACCCATTATAGTAAAAAGCTGGAAGAAAATCGATGGTACAGTGTCGAACGTACCATCTAGGAACCAAATTGTTGAGCTGAACAGCAATCGTAAATTTTCGCGCGTTGCGAACACTAATATTCTGTCCGAATTGTAATCCTCGTCTGTATGAGAGTCATACATCAGGAAAGTATCTCCAACGAGCGTTTTTGTAAAAGTTTCAGGTATATCTTAAATGTTATACTTTATAATAAATGTATAGCTGCAGGAGATGGTATGTAAAAAGATATGTTGACTCTTATACCTTTTATGTCTTCTATGGTAGTGGGATTAGACGGTAGATGCAGTAAACGTTCGCGCTGTATAGTTTTTTTAATGTTGCCAATGTCAGGTAAACGAGCTTGCACAGCTTCATTACAATCCTGTGCTTCTCGCGTTATAGCAGAAGGAGGACGAGCACGGTCACTTATAGCCGAACGCTGTTATATCAGCTAAAATTATTTCTATTCAATGTAGAAAAATATAGAGTGGTACCTTAATATTTCCCATAATGCGCACAGATTCGACTTCTTCGGGATTAGGTTCATGAGTGTGAGAGTTTGCCGACCCACCTCTCCGAATCAAAACTCTGCGACCCGTGCTGACGGTAGTCAAACGCGCGGCGCATTGACCTCGATATCGACACTTCCAATATTTTACATCACCTTTGGAAGTCGATGCAGAGTATAAGAAACCGTCAATGTGTCCATAAGTAGAAGACCCTTTCTTAATTATTTCTAATGTACGATATGCCATTGTCGAGGTTCAACGAAAATTTTGAAAAATCATGAGTGAGAGTGTACACAAATGTTAATACATGTAAGATATGAAAGGTTATGGTGAATGAAAAAAACGCTATCGGGAAAACAATCGAAAGCAAAAAACTAATGAAATACATATTTTTATTTTGGACAATAAATAACTGTGGACATTTTGGCTTGGACATTTTAGTTTGGACATTATGGGGAGATACCTTTGTCAGTGCCAGGTGGGCCTATTACTAACTAACCAAATATGGAGCTCATTTTATGGACTCTTGAGATCCAGCTTTTGAATAGCATTGACAATAGTTCTCAAATTTGTAACTTCATAGTCCTTTAGACAAATGGATATTAAAAATGGTTCGTCAGCATTTATTTGTTCTGTAATATATCTAGCAGCTACATGAATTTCTGTAGTAATACAACAGAAGAATGATTTATAAAACAATAACGAAAACCTTAACTTACTTTATATTATCCATGAGTACAGAAAATCTTCAATTAAATTGAGTTTATAAAGTCAAAATTTCGTCAGTACAGAATCATTCCTGATAAATATTTTTTCAATTCATTCTTCAGTTCCAAACTAGAAATATAAATTACAGCGATTAATTCTCAATTCAAGCCATACAATATTATCACATTATATGTACCACCATTAATGTGAGTAATTTTCATTTCATCATGATCTAATGCAGTCTTAACGCCATTGTATACAATTAGCTATGAAAAATTCATTTAGTTTGCAAGCTTCTGTACTATCCAGACCAAATACCATATAAATACCACAATAAAAAGCAATGGTCTTTTACATTTTTCAATTCTGTATGACCTTGAAAATTAAATACATTTAATCTTTATTACAATAATCAACTGCACATGCTTCAGACATATTTTCAGAGTTTATACCTAAAATTGCATATTTTATCTTGTGAGAATAGCAAATTAATTCATTAGTCCATATTCAGAAAACAATAATAGCCTGAAGTGATCCACATTGTATATAATTACTGAAAACCGTACTGATTAATTATTTTATAATCTTTGAAAAAAGCTATTTCCTAAAATAAAAAAACGAATTCTACTGTATTTATCAACTTTATATAGAAGTTATAACGATTAATTTATAAAACTACCTCCTTCAGATATTAGCTCAGTTTAATATCGGCATGATAAATTCTGACAGCATACAGACTTGAATCTGCAGCCCAGACAACTTCAAAAGCCTGTCATAAAGCCTTGTTTCTCAAGCCTATAAACGTATAAATAATAAATTATCATCACAAACTACAACGAATCTTTTTTTAGGATTGTGATGAATTGTTTGTGGATAGATTTCACAAGCACCCATGTCTTTGACAGTTGATGGCAACTTCTCACCTTCCTGAGCTTCTTCTCCAAGTACTTTCAAATTGACCTGTTGAATTTTCCTGTGTTTTGCCCATACAATTTGACTACCTATATACATAAACAATTTTCTAAGCGTAATGATCTTTACAATGAAACATGAAAGTTATTGAATATATGATAAGTTTATTTAATGTTTTACTATCAATAATATATAAATACATATCACTATTAGTTAAAATGAATAGTTGAGTTAGATGAACTATGATACATCTAATATAATAACTGTATTTCAAAAGAGTGAATTCGTTCTAGTGTATTATAATTGAAAATTCTGATCTGCATATCATTGAACATAATATTAATTATGTTAGTAAAGTATACTAATATAATTAATTAACTTACAAAATTATCTATTCGTACTGCATCTACAGCTTTTCAATAAAAATGTTTTCGCGGAATCGTTTTTGAAAATGTAAACATCACTGAAACTGGAACGAGAGATAGAACAGCTAACTGCGGACGTACAAACGATATAGATTCGTCTCGACTTCATGAAAATGAGCAACATTGTTCCATTCGAGGCGCATGCGCGAAACAATGTCATAATAACCTTTTTAAATGCGTAAGAGTATTATTTTATTTTAATTAATTAAATGATAAACTTTTTAATAATTTTATGTTGGGTGCCAATAATGCGTGAGACGCACTAACGATTGGTATATTGTAAAAAATTATTTTCATGATATAAACCACTATATTTGGAGAATCAAATTGTTAATTTTATCAATTTTTCACATAAAGAAAATGAGTATAATCGACGCACAAACGATATGTGATTAATTAAAAGCCGCCCAATCGAATGGTGTAATTAGTTTATAGATTTGTTCAATATTTTAATTGTTGGGTGCTAACTTTTAAGACCTAATTTTACGATGTAATCACAATATGCGTCGCAATCCAATACATGGTGTTATATCCCTACCTTGTGTTGGGCGCGTAACTCACGTGAATTCAAAAAGAAATTTTCACGACTCGGGTAAATTTGGAAAAAGGGAAAAGATAATAATTTTATTTTAAAAGAGAACTTAAATTATCCGTAAAAGCCATTATGTGTATTTGTGACAGATGAGATTAATACAGGGAACAGGCTAAACTACACGACTCGATGACTAGATCGATTCTGATCTTATGATGCAGCTTCGAAACTTCGCTCGATGATGATTGCTGCAATTCGCGCGTGCGTGGGAGGCAAAAGGGCGTCCCTTTTCTGGGCGCTGACGAATTGGAAGGCTGATTTTTCTCTCTCTCTTTCTCTCTCTGGCTCTCATCCTCGGTCTCTCTTCTCTCCTCACTGATAGTCCTTACGTGTAGCGCAGTTGTTCGCTATGGTTACAAAACTTGGGTTTTTCAGCGAAAAATCCATTAAATTTTAACGAGTTGAGAGTCGTCGAGAAGCGTTGTTTTCCTTTTCGAGTCGTTATTTATGACTCGAGGCATCGTAGCGCTCAAGTAACAATTTTATTATCATTCGCGTTTTCTACATTTAAGTGTCAAAGGGAAAGTAAAAATATATTTGACGAGCGTGAGAACTAAAAACCAACGTAGTTAAGAGTACTACGCTATAATACAAAGAAAGGGGTTTTGAACATTCGCGAGGCTGCCTTACTACAAATGTGCACAATCACGTGACATAGGCAGTATGTCACAGTGGAAAGAATAAGAGATGTGGTGTCCGTTCCGCAAAGGGACGACAAAATAAATTTTACCTTCTTTCAGCAACGTCGCATGATCACGTTGGGTTATATCATGTTATCGAAGTATGCGCGGCGTATTTTAAATCACTGTACCGTTAGAAGTATTTTTCAAAACATAAAAGAGGTTAAGTTAGTTAAGTATACGACAAAATATTATAATTAATTGTGGTTATTCTTAATTTTATTATAAATATAAAATGTGTTGAAAAAGTTTTTAGACGTAATTGATAAAATTTATTATATTATTTATTATTATTATAGGTTATAGATCATGATTTTTGAAGAAGATCTCATTGATGTGTTAAATAACTTATTTAGTGATAGCGAGGATTCTTCTTCTAGTTCAAGCGATGACTTCAATTTAATTTTTGATGATGATAATTTCGATGGTGAGCCTAGAAGGAAGAAACCTCGAGCTGAAAATTTTATTGAAGAAGTAATTGATAAATATAATGATGATGAATTCAGAGAAAATCACAGGTTTGAGTGAATAACTATTACTTTATTCAACGCAGTAACGTTTAAACAAAATCACAATTTTTTTCAAAGTGAAAAAAGCCTTGCATTTTTGCCAATTTTTGCTTTTGATAATCCTCCACCAATTTTAACTTCTTATCCCCTTGCTTTAACTTTTTCTTCATGTAATTTTATCTTTCTTCGTTAAAATCTACATTCGATTTTCTTTCTGCAAAATAATTGATTTAGTATAATAAAAAGTATAATGGTAGTAACTACTTTTTTCATCAATACCTCCTTTCTTGTTTGATATTATTATTAACAGAACGAATGGTTGATGGTAAATCGTTCAAATCCTTCATGGGGATGTTAAATCCAATAGTTTTCTCCTTTATTTGTGCCCACGGTTTCTTAGAAAAAAGACTATGCAAGACCTGAATGTTTGTATAATTAGTAATATATTCAAACATAATATTTATCGTTTTTTTTAATATTTTGCAACAAGTACTTACATCATAAAAAGCACAATATTTTTTATCATTTCCAGAATTATTGTTATGCTCTAAACACTGTTTATACTTGATTTAAGGGTATCAACTTCCTTACGACATTGAGTTCCTGTGACAAAATAACCATGCTCTTCAAAATCATTTCCAATATTCTTGTAAAATATGTCATCGAATGTATTTTTATGATATTTTGAGACGTTCTCAAAAACAGTAAGAAGAAGTTCCGTTTGCGGGTCTGTCCAACGCGAAATCACTTTCAAGTCCAACAATATATAGGTACGAGGTCTGTCCGGAAAGTATCGGGCCTACCTTTAAATTTTCGTGCTAGCGTTATTCTTTATCATCTGGTGGGTGGCATCCTTCAAAGTAATCCCCACTTGATTGAATGACACGGTTCCATCGATGTTTCCACTTTTCAAAACAGTCCTGGAACTCATTTTTAGTGATAGCCTTAAGTACACTCGTCGCATTGTCTCCAACCGTTGTTTTCTCATCGAATCGGTGTCCTTTGAGTGCTTTTTTTTCATTTTGGAAACAGCCAAAAGTCACAAGGGGCTATGTCGGGACTGTATGGAGGTTGTCGAAGCAATGCGATATTGTGTTTGCTCAAAAACTGCTGCACAAGGTTGGATGAATGCGCTGGCGCATTATCGTGGTGGAGAAGCCAGTCACCACTTTCCCAAAAGTGCGACCGTTTTCTTCTTACTGCATCATGCAAACGTTTTAAAATTTGAACGTAGCATTCTTTATTGATTGTCTGACCTGTTGGTATATATTCGTGATGTACAACACCTTCACAATCGAAAAAAACAATCAACATTAACTTAACAATGCTCCGACTTTGACGTGCTTTTTTGGTCTTGGCGATTCAGTATGCTTCCACTGTGAAGATTGTTCTTTTGTTTCAAGATCATAACCATAAACCCATGATTCATCATCTGTAATAACTTTTCTAAGCCCATTATCATCATTATTGTCCATTTCCAGATTGTCCAGAGCGATTTCTAAGCGAATGTTCTTCTGCTCTGCTGTGAGCTATTTTGGGATGAATTTTGCACACACACGTTTCATTTCTAAATTTTCGATTAAAATTTCTGAAATGATAGTTTTTGTATCCCAAGATTTTCTTCTAGTTCTCGCAGTCATACGACGATCTTGTACGATTGCAAGTCGCACCCGCTCAATATTATCTGCGGTTTTTGTCGTCGAAGGTCGGCCGGAACGAGAATCACTATCTACAGAAGTGCGACCATACTTGAACCGCTTATACCACTCTTTTATTCGTGTTTTGCTCATAGACTCGCTTCCGAAGGCCTTTTGCATCATTTCAATAGTTTCCGAACTCGTTTTTCCGAGTTGAAAGCAAAATTTGATGCAAATTCGGTGATCTTGTTTTTCAGTCATTTTTGACAATATCAAAATCCGACGAACGCGAAAAAGGCACTGTAAACAGAGACACGCTGCGCATGAATTATACGTCCCGCAGGTGTCAGTAAGTAACCAATAGATTCGTGAGGCTTTACTGTTGACGTTTGTGTCCGGTAGAAGTCGCTCGAACAGTATGGCGCGATGAAAAAAACGTAGGCCCGATACTTTCCGGACAGACCTCGTATACGTCATACATTATAGTTCAATGGAAATTTACACAATCTAAAGAAAGCAATTATAAAGAGTATATGTGCGTGCGTGCGCGTATATAATTTAATAGAACTCACTAGCATCATTTGTAACTTGTTTCTCTAATTTGTTATCTGTGATAGTATCAGAACAAAAAGACTGCTCTTTAATTGTTTTATGATTTGTCTCGTCCGGTAATGGATTATAAGTCAATTTCCTATCAGTTTTAAATTTAATCAATAGATCAATTGCATAGGAAGGATCTGAAAAAGATGTATATTTAAATATATTAGAATAATTTTAGGTTTACAAAACATAGTATAAAATCCCTTTTGTAGCAGCAGCATTTTGTTCTCGGGGAAGCCACATCTTGTATGTTTTATGTTTATGTTTAGAATCTTGGATGCTGAATTCTATAAATTCATTTTCATTGTCTACATTAGAACTTTCTATTAACAGAAAAATAATGTTTATTAAAAAAAAATAAATTACGTAATATTTTTAATTTATATAGAATAAAATAGTTTGTAATTGAAAAATACATTACCTGATAGATCAATCGTTTTGCCAAATGATTTTGAATTAATAACATCAGGTGAAGTACTTGCAGATTTTTGCTGTTCCAAAAGCAGATTTATTTTTAATACTCTATCTTTTTTTATTCTCTCGAAAATCTGCATTGCAAAATTATCATCTACAATGTTTTTATGGTTGAACAGATATGTACATATTTTCCAAAATAAAAATATCTTATTCAATATTTACCATACCTGTCATGGCTTTCCCTGCTAAAACCAGGACATTCAACCGGATTGAAAATCCAATCCGTTTTGAGTCTATTTTTGAATCCTACAAATGACATGTAACAGACTGCCGCTTGGTCGTAAAGCCCGGGTAATTATAGTTATGAATACGGCCAAATGGTGCTCTGTTAGCTGTATGCTTCAAGCACACTTAGTCACCTCGCTCCGGTGTACGCATGCGCCGAGTTCTCTCAGTGATCTAACTTAGATGCGCGAACTCTCCGCAAGGGGGCGCTGATGCGCTTGCTTGCCAGCGCTCCGTCGGCCGCTGCAGACAACTCGGTCGACGAACAGCTCCTTCTATGCTTTCGCGATCCTTGTTGGATTACCGGCGCGTTCGAATTAAATGTAAACAATAACACCGACACCGGACAAAGGGGAGACGAAATAATAAGATCGTCTCTTATTGATGTTCAACCACTTTATTTGACGACATTAAACCTGTACAAGGGACGATATGCCGAGAGTCTGAACGCACGCTATTTCGACACAATAATTCGAATGGGGGAGAGAGAGAGTAGATTTCGCGGATATCGCGGACTATTCGCACGCACGCTACCTAAAACTCACCGCGCGCGCTGCGCGGGATCGCACGCTAAACGCTATACAAAGTGCAGCGCACTTACCGCTGAATCGATGAGGATACGGTGGCCAACCGTATCCGACTATACTAAAAGGATGAACTGCCTCTGCAACTGCCTCTCGTCGCTGAAGTTACGTTGCTGTGGATGCTGCCGAGGTCGCACACGTTGCACAGTGTGCGCACTCCCCTCACCACTCTCTAATTATCCACTCAATCACCCTGTCTATCACTCGGAAGGAAAAACACGTTGTCGCTTCAAACGTAAAAAGCTGCGATGTCGCTGGACTGAAGGACATAGTCATACTGGCTCGCTACCTCTCCCCTCCCGGTCATTGCCCCTAACGCGCCCTCTCTCTCTCTCTCTACCCTAAGCCAATCACGGCTATAACACTTAGCCCCGCTCGACAGTCTACGCGAGTCCTAACGATTTTCGGCAATCGTTGCAAATAATTGAAATTCATTAAAGTAGAATGAATCTTAATTCACTTTAATGTTTTTTAATCCGGAAATTAATTTTACATGTTATAATAATTAATTTCAGGATAGAAAAATATTAAAGGGGATTCAGATCGATTCCAGTTTGATAAATTTAAATTGTCATTTGAAGGATTCAGAAATAGACTCGAAGCGGATTGGATTTTCAATCCGGTTGAATGTCCATGTTTTAGCAGGGTTCTCATACATCTTTGGGCTCACCGTAACTTCATACCTTAAGTTTCCTTCAAAGTCATGTAAAATTCATACTTTTGTTGTTGCTCTGTCAGATGATGAAATATTAACTGAATTTGAGGAATTTTCATTATTTTCCTTTTGTTCGTGCTGACTCCCTTGTGTTTGTGACTTAATCATATTAGTAACCTCTGGAGAATAAGACCCACCTGCAAAATTTTTATGATTAAGTAATTACGCTTATTTACAATTCATAATTTGTATCTAGATTAATCTATTTCATAAGTAAATTTAGTCGTAATAAAATTAAAAAATTATTTTATTCTATTGAGTAGTTTTGTGCATTTAGATAAAAATTAAGTCGTACAATTTAAAATTTAAGCTACTTTTCATTTAAGTTCCATTTTATTATTACTAAAATTAAGCAAAAACCGACGAAAACAAATCAATTTCAAATTAGATTTTAAAAGATGTAAATAAATAACATTTAAGAATTAAATATAACTCTCAGATTGTTATTTATATATAACAAATCCATTTTAACTTACGCACCAAGATAACCCAAAAACTATGAGAGCTAGCGAAAAATGTTTCGAATAAAAGTTACTCGTCTCCGAGGGGGACATATTATGGTGACCTTGACTTTGACCTCGAGGGTCATTATCAAGGTCATTTGAAGGTCAACTTTGTTTTTTCAAATAGGAACCCCTATTTTCGACCCCGGATTCGGAAAGAGCGGAAAATCCTACGTTTAGATGACCTACCATACGTGGGGTCCGGGAGATCCGCCAAGGTCATTTGAAGGTCAACTTTGTTTTTTCAAATAGGAACCCCTATTTTCGACCCCGGATTCGGAAAGAGCGGAAAATTCTACGTTTAGATGACCTATCATGCGTGGGGTCCGGGAGACCCGCCAAGGTCATTTGAAGGTCAACTTTGTTTTTTCAAATAGGAATCCCTAATTTTAACCCCGGATTCGAAAAGTACAAAAAATCCTAAATATTTTATGTAATGAATTAATTCAACTTTCCATGGCCATTTAAACGTCAAATTAATGGAAAATTACTTTACTCAGAACAGTTTCATGTTTTCATATGAGAAATAAAGTATGCGTAAATTTTAGAACACACTAAATTTATTCAACTTTTTATGTACAGAGTTTAACAAAAAAATATTATTCATTAGTAGTAATAATCAACAGTATTAGTCAATCTGATGAGGAATAACTCAATAATAACAATAATAATGATCTGGCAATAAGTTGGTGATGAATGATGCGCACGCACAATTACATGAGATGTTCAATAGGTCCCCCATTGTTTGCTAAGCATGTTTCCAAACGCCGATGATAATTATTGAGAACGTTTGTAAGTATTTCAGGCGTAACAGCTGCACAAGCTCTTCTCACTCTATCCATCATATCTAATATAGTGGTAGGTGCATCCTTGTAAACAGCGACCTTGCAATATCCCCAGAAATAGCTGTCTAGTGGATTCAGGTCAGGAGACCTAGGTGGCCAGGGAACTGGACCACCTCGACCTATCCAATGGTCACGTAATTGAGCATTCAAAAATTCTCTAACGTTTACAGCAAAGTAAGCTGGAGCACCATCTTGTTGTAGCCACATGAGCTGCCGAACATTCAGTGGGATGTCCTCCAAGTATTCAGGTAGATGATTCTCCAGAAAATCAAGATACGCTTGGCCGTTGACATTGCCATCAAAAAAATGGGGACCAATAATATGCCCGTTGAATATTCCCACCCAAACATTAAGACTCCAACGGTGTTGCTTTATCACTTGACGATGCCAATGAGGATTGACAGGTGACCAATAATGACAATTATGTCTATTGAGTTTACCGTCACTTTTGAAGGTAGCTTCATCGCTAAAACAAACATTCCAAAAGAAATTGGGATCCTCGTCCAGTTGATTAAGAGCCCACCTACAGTAATTCATTCTGAGTAAATAATCATTTTCATTGAGTTCTTGGTGCAGGATGATGTGGTATGGATGGTAACCCACGGATCTTAACATCCGATGAGCAGTAGTACGCCCAACCGACGTTCGATTTCTCTTGTACTGATGTGAGGATTCACATGAACCATTGCTAACACAGCAAGAAGTCTTGGATCATTGTTGTTCACATTTCTGTTTCCACCTCTCTGTCGATGAAGATCATTCATACGGCAACGTCTTTCGATATTTCTGATTTGCCTGTCATTAGGATGGCGCTGGTTCGGAAAACGTTCAGCATAGAGCCGAGCAGCAGCTCGGTAGTTCCGGCGACATTCACCAAGTACTAACAATACTTCAACGACTTCATTTCCTGAATAATTGGTCATTCTGTGAAGAAATATCAAAGACGTAATGCATATCTGAAAGATAACACTAACCACAAGAGTGGTAATAATTTGTTAATACTTACATGAAAAACGCTCAACGACTTTTTCAACAGTTGTTAAAAAAATGCTTACTATTAATAATCACTCATCTCAACACTAAATTCGTCACTCCGTTCAAAACAAAAATCGACGTTTTTATTCAAAAACTTACTTTTACCTCTAAATGAGCATAAAGAATTGAATACACGTTACATCTCGACGTTGACAGAACGGACAACCTTCCATACTTCCCGAATCCGGGGTCGAGAATAGCGATTCCTATGAAAAATAGTTAACCTTCACATGTTCTTGAGTGATCAACCACAAGTTACACCTTGCCTGAACGTAGAATTTTTTGTTGTTTCCGAATCCGTGATAAAAAAAGTAGGGTACTCCAGGAAAAAACAAAGTTGACCTTCAAATGACCTTGGCGGGTCTCCCGGACCCCACGCATGATAGGTTATCTAAACGTAGAATTTTCCGCTCTTTCCGAATCCGGGGTCGAAAATAGGGGTTCCTATTTGAAAAAACAAAGTTGACCTTCAAATGACCTTGGCGGGTCTCCCGGACCCCACGCATGATAGGTCATCTAAACGTAGAATTTTCTGCTCTTTCCGAATCCGGGGTCGAAAATAGGGGTTCCTATTTGAAAAAACAAAGTTGACCTTCAAATGACCTTGGCGGGTCTCCCGGACCCCACGCATGATAGGTTATCTAAACGTAGAATTTTCCGCTCTTTCCGAATCCGGGGTCGAAAATAGGGGTTCCTATTTGAAAAAAC